GTTATCTGAGTCCACCTCCAGTTAATGTGGGATTTTCTGCCTTGATATTCTGGGATATAAGGCTGTATGGAAGGGCCCTGAGTCCACCCTCAGATAATGTGGGATTTTCTGCCTTGATATTCTGAGATAGAGGGCTGTGTGGAAGGGCCCTGGGCCATGGCATTCAAAGTGGTGTCTAACTGCATTAATTCTATAGTGCAGATGCATTCTATGTCTTCTGAGGCCACATCTACGCTGCCATATAATGCAGTTTGAAACTGGATTATATGGCCAATGTAGACTGCATTGAACTGCATTATATAAAGGGGTTTGGATAGCCCGGTGGTTTAAAAAAGGATATCATAGCCCCTTCGGTCCCTGTTGGTTCTTGTAAAATAATAAATGTAATAATAATAAAGTAAAATAAGGTAAGTGTAATAATAATTATAATAGAGTAAAATAATAAATGTAATATTATTAATAATATAATATGGAGCCCCCGGTGACGCAGTGGGTTAAACCCCTGTGCCGGCAGGACTGAAGACCGACAGTTGCAGGTTCAAATCCAGGGAGAGCGGGATGAGCTCCCTCTATCAGCTCCAGCTCCTCATGCAGGGACATGAGAGAAGCCTCCCACAGTGATGGTAAAAAAATCAAAGCATCTGGGCGTCCCCTGGGCATCCTTGCAGACGGCCAATTCTCTCACACCAGGGGTCACTCCTGACACAACAACAACAAAAAAATAATAATAGACAGGCCCGTAGCCAGGATTTTGATTCAGGGGGTGCTGAGTTTGATTGGGGGGGGGGGGGCGGTGAGGCTGAGTGAGAGAGGATCTACCCTAGCAAACCTTTTGTATTGTTATCCAAATACCCCCATGCATATGGGATATATTGAGCATGGTGATCAGATCATGATATGAATAAACATAACAGTTTAAATAATGTACCAGTAAGGCCTTCTCGTGGAGAATTTTGGGGGGCGGGGCGGAGCTGAAGCCTCTCAACCTCCCCCCCCCCCGGCTACATGCCTGATAATAGAGTAAAATAATAAATTACAGAGTAAAATGATAAATAACTTTGACTCGAGTATAATTTGACCTTTAGTTTATACTATGAACGCCATTACAGAGGGAGAGAGATATAATCTCTGGGAGTGTTTGAGCTGAAATATTTAGCAGTTTGCATTTAAAGGGTGAAGGAAGCTGATTTGTATGCAAAGGAACGAAGAACTCATAAAGAAAGGGGAAATGTCTCATAATAACAGATGTGTTATGTCTTATGATCGATGATCAAAAGGACCCTCCTTTGTCAGAATGCCGCTGGCTAAGGGTTGCACACCCAGTGGCTTTTAGAGCTCATTGCAGCGATGATCTCCTTAGGGCTGTTGAACCAGCTTTCCACAAACCGACAACCTTCAGACTTCTTTGATAATAATTCCCAGCATCCCCAGCCAGCATCCTGACTTGGGGTCTATTGAAATAGAAGATGCAAAAATAGTAGGCCTGCTTTAACTTGGGACTGAAAAAAGATACACCAGAAGAAACCAGAGACATATAAGGTGTGATAACAGAAAGCCACAGAAGTCGCCACTGCAAATTGGAAATGAGCCACAGTGAATACTCGGCCTTTAATCTCATTGAAACCCCTTTCAAAAGGGTTGGTGTATAAGAGATGTAGCTACCTTAACAATCAAACCATCTGTGCAGAGCACAAAATAACCTTGTCACAGACTACTGTGGATGACATATACTTGCATCATCCACAGTATGTATCACTTCAGTGGTTAAAAATAACCATAGTGGTGAATATAAGGCGGTGAATGTACATCCACTTACCTGGGAGTAAGCCTCACTGATCTCAGTGGGACTTACCTCTGAACAAACATTTATAGGACTATGTATTGTCAAAGGCTTTCATGGCCAGAATCACTGAATTATTGTGAGTTTTCTGGATTGTATGGCCATGTTCCAGAAGCATTCTCTCCTGATGTTTCACCTGCATCTATGGCAGGCATCCTTGAAACCTCACAACCTCTGAGGATGCCTGCCATAGATGAAGGCGAAACGTCAGGAGAGAATGCTTCTGGAACATGGCCATAAAGCCTGGAAAACTCACAACAACCCATTCATAGGACTACACATAAATGATTATTATTCGGCGTGTATAAGGCTGCTTGGAGGGTAAAGATGAATCTTCCCTTTCTTCCTAGCATGAGGCTTATAACCCTCAACTAATCTTTCTGTCTCTTTATGGAAATAAAATCTTACAATTGTTATCTATCCCACAAAGAGCCCACATTGCAGGAAATCCACATTTCTTAAGTCCTTGTTTACAGCTATCCCGCTGGAGAGGCTCTTGCATAAATACATGAGAGCAGGGAAATAATGATATTGATGGCTTTCCTTGAATTCTGCCTAAGCTTTTATAGTGCTACATAAATATGTTTGCGTTCCTCAGCACGATTTAGAGAGGGCATGCTTTTGGGCAGGGCCCTTGCATGCTGGCAAATGTCATTATATTCAGCCATGTTGCCAGCAGTCGTTCTGTTTCCAACTAAGATGGCCTCGAGTGACTTCCAAACAGGCCGTGGTGCAATCTGCAATTGCCTCTTAGGCTTCCAGAAGCATAACCTCTGCCATGTATCTATTGCTCATGGGTTTTGTTTTGTTTTTTGTCTTTGCACAACCATTCAGGAAAAAAAAGCATCATTCCTAGCTGACAGCAAGAAGCTGTCACACCCAGAGAATGTCAGGGAGCTGGTAGAAGACCTTATGGGGCTCAGGACAACTGCTAGATTTAATCACAGATACACTGTTAATACCATATTTCTTCTATTCTAAGATACACTGGGTTGTAATACTAATTTCAGTACAACCAATAGAAAAAATATTTATTTATATGTATTTTGAAACCCGCCATTTAGAGTTGTTGTGGGGGCGGGGGGAGTGTATCTTTGAATTGAAAAATAGGGTAATGTAGACTCTCCCCTTTTTGTATCTTTTTATAGAAATACATTTTAATTACATGTATTTATTGAATCTTTATAATGGTTTATGTGTTCTGACTATGTTAGAACCCAGAAAAGGCAGGTAAGAAATTCAATTATTATTATTATTAATATTGTTATTATTCTCAAGATGCCTGTCATAGATGTGAGTGAAACGTTAGGAAAGAATGCTTCTGGAACATGGCCATACAGCCCGGAAAACTCACAGCAACCCATTGTTATTATTACTGTCACAATACATATGCTGCCAACCAGTTTGTGCGATATTATGATACAAAAAAACAACAACACATTCTACATTAGCCTCAGGATGCTTTCAAATATATATGGCCTTCTTTTGTTTACTAAAAGGCAAGCATACCTTTTTACATAAACAATCATTCCCAGTCAGTTTGTAGTAGTAACGTAGGATGCTACAAGGCAGAGCAGAGAATGCTGCTGTTACTACAGCAGTGCAGGCTCTCAACCCTGTAAAATGGCTGACACCCCACCAAGCTCTCCACCCATATCTGAACAAGAATATTTTTGAAGGGTCTGAAGGCTCTTCTCCTTCACCTCCCGGCTTCTTTCTCCACCAATACATCAGATGGCAAAACACCCACTTTTGCTTAAGGACTCGTTCTCCCTTCAGCATGTTTAAAGGACATACTCCACACCACAGATGTCTTCTGCAATGCCTTGGAAGACACCCTTCCACAGGAGATGAAGTCATGAGATACACCAAAGGCCTCCCACAGATAAATCAGGAATGAAGTAGGCTTCCAAAGCAGAAATGTTGACTCCATCTCCGCACCAGCACACTCATCTTGCAGAATTAATATGGTTTAAGTGTAGGATCTTGTGAGATTCCATGGCTGCTCCGAATGCAGATGCCACCAACAAGGATTGGCAGGCCTTCTTCACCAATCCCCATGACTCTGCATTCTTGCCATGGCCCTGTATCATTGGCGCAAGGGGGTGGGGACGTAGGGTGGCATTCCCAAGTCATGCATTTCTGTTGGAGATCAATTCAGAAGCTTGGATAATAATTCATCTGCTCCCAACCATGAAAAGGGTCAATTTTCCTCCACAAAGATGAGGCACACAAACCTTGCCCTGACAGGAAGGGTGTCTCCACATTTATGTTGAATCCCGGAGAATAATTCATTGGCTCCCAACAACGAAAAGGGTCTATTTCCCTCCCCAAACATGAGGAACACAAACCTTGCCCTGACAGAAAGGGTGCCTCCACATTTCTGTTGAGCCCTGAAGAATAATTCATTGGCTCCCAACCATGAAAAGTGTCTATTTTCCTCCCCAAACACGAGGAACACAAACCTCACATCTTCCCCTGACAGAAAGGGTGTCTCCCTCTCCAGGAAAAATATGCATCCCAAGAAAGGCCTTTGTCTGCAAAAGGAACCAGGGGGCTAACCTTGAAAGGCAATGAGCAAATAATCCTGCTTTCTAATAACTGGTCCCCTATGGCTTTAGGACACTATCAGGACTGACTGTCCTCCAAACACACACCAACACCACACTGCAGGCCATGACATCATGCAAACACACTCACAGCCAGGCTATGCTTTATGCTGTGCATTGGCAGAGAAGGGGAAAGACCAAACATGGGATTTTAGGGCGCCTCTCCTGCCTTCCTCCTCTTCCCTCCCTAGCCTTGGATGCCTTTGCAAAGGCATCCAAGGCTAGGGAGGAAAGAGGAGGAAGGCGAGGAGAGGCACCCTAAAAAATCCCACTCTTGGTGACAGACCCACACCATTGTTTTCCCCCTGAAGCTGAACACCGCCTGGAAAAATGCTCCATTGTCTTGTCTTGAAACCCTGCCAAGGAGAGGAAGGGATAAGAGGAATGCGCAACCACCAGCCGCATTACAGAGATGCATTGCAAGGATGCTCCGCAGATATGGGTCAGTGGGGGAGCCCTCAAAAAGGGCGAGGCAGATCCAACCAAGGGGGAAAGGTGCGGGGGGTTGGAGAGATGGGGCAGGCACACCATGGCAGGTGGGGCAGGCTTACCTTCCCGCGGTTCAAAGGGTCTGGAGGGCCGGCGGCGCCTGGCCGGGGCATGGGCGGAGGAGGGCTTCGGGTGGTGGTGCTGATGCTGCGCTCGCGCCGCTCTCTCCGGAGGAGGATGCTCGATGCGTTCCTGCAGGTTCACCGCTGGCCCCGCCCCTTTGGGCCCTCTCCGGCCGCTGATTGGCTGAGGAGAGCCAGCAGCCTGTTGACCGCAGCATCCAGGAGGGAGGGGCCCTAGTGGGAGGGGGGCTGATGACGCTGCTGCCGGGAGGGAGGGAGGGGGCGAAGGATGGAGGGAGGGGAGATGGATTGCTCAGCAGCCCCCTCACTGCGGAATTGGAGGGAGGGGAGGGGACAGAGAAGAGGGACCCCTCTCTTACCTGACTGGGGAGGGGGCAAAGAAGGGGGATACACTGTACTTCTTGTGTTCCCCTCCTTTGCTTGGCTGGATGGGGAACAGAGAAAGGAGACCCCTTCCTAGTTGGGGGAGAAGGAAAGGGAGGGGTCCTTCCTTGGCCTGAATGTGTGGAGCAGGGAAGGGCAGCTCCTTCACCTGTCTTAGAAAGGGGCTGGGAAGGGGACTCCTTCTAATTGGAGGAGTGGAGAAAAGGGGGGCTCCAATGAAGCAGAGAGGGAGAAAATGTGGAGGCCGTGACAGACTTTGTATTTCTAGGTGCAAAGATTACTGCAGATGCAGACTGTGGCCAGGAAATCAGGAAACACTTACTTCTTGGGAGGAGAGCAATGTCCAGTCTCGATAAAATAGTTAAGAGTAGAGACATCAGACTGGCAACAAAGATCCGCCTAGTCAAAGCCATGGTATTCCCTGTAGTAACCTACGGATGTGAGAGCTGGACCTTAGGGAAGGCTGAGCGAAGGAAGATCGATGCTTTTGAGCTGTGGTGTTGGAGGAACGTTCTGAGAGTGCCTTGGACTGCGAGAAGATCCAACCAGTCCATCCTCCAGGAAATAAAGCCCGACTGCTCACTGGAGGGAAGGATACTAGAGACAAAGTTGAAGTACTTTGGCCACATCATGAGGAGACAGCAAAGCCTAGAGAAGACAATTATGCTGGGGAAAGTGGAAGGCAAAAGGAAGAGGTACCAACCAAGGACAAGATGGATGGATGGCATCCTTGAAGTGACTGGACTTGAAGGAGCTGGGGGTGGTGACGGCCAACAGGGAGCTCTGGCGTGGGCTGGTCCATGAGGTCACGAAGAGTCGGAGACGACTGAACGAATGAACAACAACAAGAAAATATGTTGTTTGAGGACCGGGACATCCATGGGGATACCAACGTGCTTGTTTATAAAGCTATTGTCCTCCCAACCCTGCTATACGCCTGCGAGATGTGGACTGTCTACAGACGTCACATGCAACTCTTTCACAATATCCTCTAAAATAATTTTTGATCATAGCAATATGTATACGCTGTAGACATCACACTCAACTCCTGGAACAATTCCATCAGCGCTGCCTCCAGAAAATCCTGCAAATCTCTTGGGAAAACAAGCAGACAAATGTCAGCATGCTGGAAGAAGCAAATACCACCAGCATTGAAGCAATGGTTCTCCGCCATCAACTCCGCTGGGCCAGCCACGTTGTCCAGATGCCTGACCACCGTCTCCCAAAGCAGTTGCTCTACTCCGAACTCAAGAATGGAAAATGGAATGTTGGTGGACAGGAAAAGAGATTTAAAGATGAACTCAAAGTCAACCACATTCTGGAACATGGCTATACAGCCCGGAAAACTTGCAGCAACCCAATCCCTCTTTTGCCTTGCTGGGGGATAGCAAATAAGCAGGGGATCCCTCCTTTGCTTGACTGGGAGGGGAGAGAAGGATGAACCCCCGCCTTCGCCTGGTATAGACCCCTCCCCCCAAATTCCTTTCAGCTTGAGTCTTCAGATATTTATTTATTATTTATTTATTTACATCACTGGTATACCATTTTTCTCACCAGGTTGGGGGGGGGGGGAGGGATGGACTCAAAGCGGTTTCCAACATATTTGTGAGAAAAATTCAGTGCCTCACATAAATGTGAAATATAAAATAAACCAACAATAACATATAACTATCATATTAAATCATAAAAATGTAAACAACAATTAGATATTAAAACATTGAGTTAAAAACATATTAATACAAACGTTAAAATTTGGACCAAAATCCAAAAAAATTGGTCCGAGGCTGTTCCAAATTTCAATATCAATTGCACATAAACTCTGATCATTCCTTGTATAGCTTACTGCCCAAAGGCTTGGTCCCAGAGTCAAGTTTTTACTTTTTTTCTGATGGTCAGGAGAGAGGTTGCAGATCTAATTCAGTTGGGGAGGGAGTTCCATAGCCAAGGGGCCACCACTGAGAAGGCCTTGTCTATTGTCCCCACCTGTGAGAGAGGTGGGACCAAGAGCAGGGCCTCCCCAGATGATCTTAACTTCTGGTTCATAGAGGGAGATATGTTCAGACAGATAAGCTGGACGGGAACCATTTCGGGCTTTATACGCTAAAGCCAGCACTTTGAATTGTACTTGGTAGCAGATTGGCAGCCAGTGGAGCTGGCGTAACATGGGGGTTGCATGCTCATGTACCTCACTCTGGTAAGCAATCTGGCTGCTACCCGTCCCCGTCCCCCCCCCCCCCCCCCCCCACAGATAGGACTCAAAACAGCAATACCAATAACAACAACAACAACACTTTATTTATATTCCTCCCTTCTCCATGAGGGGACTCAGTGCAGATTACAGTATATGTAAGCAGACACAGGCAAACATCAAATGCCTTATTACAATGACATACAATGAGACACAAACACACAGACAAAGGCAAAGACTTCTCCTTTAATTTCTGGCTCTGATGACCATGCTCGGCTCTGGGGGGAGGTGCTCTTTTTCCATTTCCAAGTCAAGGAGCCTGCATCCATAGACACCTCCTGGTCATGTTTTAGCCTGCCATTTTTGGACTGTCACTTGCTGAGGTGTTCCTGCAAGTATCTCTGTAGATCTTTAAAAACCATTTCTTGATTTAAGACATTGGTGTGCTGCTTGATATACAAACAAATGGTAGGCTGGAGATGTCACTGTCTTGGTCCTTTCATTGTTGGCTGCTACTTCCCAGCGGATGTTAGGTGGTGCAATACCAGCTAAACAATATAATTTCTCCAATAATGTGAGGCTTACACATCCTGTGATAATACGGCATGTCTTGTTAAGAGCGAAGCCTCCCCACATCCAACACATCCAAGTGACCCCTTGGCAATGTCTTTGTAGACAGTTGATTCTCTCACAACCAAAAGTGACTTGCAGCATAACTGAAGATGCCCAACAAGGAATCATAATATTGAAAAATTCTAACGCATCTCTACATACCTACATAATATGTATCCTGCAAATAAATTATTCATTTAATTGTGAACCCTCCCCCCCCCCATGCCTGGGGCATTGGGGGGGGGGGGGGAACTGCCCTCTTGTCAAATTTGTAAATGGAATAATTTTATTTTCAATATGTTTGCCTGTTCCAAATTTTGTGCTAAATTAAACTTAAGTGCCAATGGAATCAACCATAGTAGATAGGTTATATTATACCTTTTAGTAGATGATTGCTTTATCATTTATCAAATCTACAAATGACAGAAGTGATTCACCAAGGGTCTAGAGAATTCAAAATGGTCTTCTGATCCATGACAAAAGTGAATTATATATCACCTAAATATGATTGTCACAATCAAACATGTTCAGGGAAATCAGAATTCTGGGTAATGTCTGCGCTCTTGGAATTCTCCTCACTTGAAATACTGCAGAGCCAGTGGTTTTTGCCCTGTAGCCTTGTTACTTGCCTGCACAAATTCCCTTTTCTGACAACAGTGAAGACAAATAGAAAGTGCCACTTCCTGTGTAAAAAAATATCAACTTTCACAGAGACATGGCTGGCATAGGAAAACAATGTCATTCATAAATGTCTTCTGTCTTGATTTTAATTCAAGATTACTTCCTATGCCTATCCCAATATCTGCATATCTTTTTTATTTATTTCCTAAATAAATAACACATCACTCGGTTTGCTTGTGCCCTACTGATTAATGCCCCAAGCATGCTTAGAATGGGGAATATTTTGGATAATATCAAGGCTTGGTAGCAGTGCATTCCAATTTCCATGCCTGCTACAAGTTTGTTTAGTTTTAGCTACCACTACACCTAACAACTGCTTGCACTGGATGTGACTCCATTGATCAGAGCAGGAATGTCACGATTTACAGGCTGGGCAAATGAGATGAGGCTTGGCATCTTTCTAGCTTTATCTCTAATTTACTTCCAGCTGAAATTTGCTAGTCTGGATATTGATATTCCTGCTAGATGGAAAAAAGCTTACTTTCAAGTTTCTCAGACGTTGAGAGTAACACATGGACCATTCCTTGGTCACACTCTATTCAAAAACTGAGTCCCCCCAGTGGTAAGAAAGGCAGTATATAAATACTATTAATAATAATAATAATAATAATAATAATAATAATAATAATAATAGATTCCTTTCCAGGAAGGTTTCTGGTCTCTTTAAAAATAGAATTCCAAAAAGAAATCTTATGCTTAATCTTACTTATGGTTTATAACAGTTGCTATGTCGTCGCGCCTGGGGCTATAGAGAAAGAGGCATGGACATGACTTCTTTCCCCAGGGGATTGCTTCTTGCCCTCCTTTAGGGAAACTGGAACTCCCAAGGACCAGAACACAACAGTTAACTCGAAAATGATGTTTATTGTTAACAGTTAGCTTTCTTTCTTAGGTACAAACTTTATGTTTCAACAGGGAAAACCACTTTATAAACTCTAAGTCCAGGGTCCTAGGAGTAATAAGCTAAGAAGCTTTTCCTGTTCCCTCTCTCTCAATGGCTATGAATGCCGGAGCAAACCACAACCCCAGTTCAGTGGCCTAAATTGAAGGACAAGACCTTCCTATGGTGCCAAAGAACTGGAAAGAAGGCGCCTGAGGTCTTCACAATTCTATTCAGGGTGGTCTGAACATAAAGAATAAGACTCAGGGGTAATAAACCTAAGAACTGGTAGTAAAAAATGCCTTGACCAGGGGCTTTTGGGCCAAGCTTTTGGACACGTCCATCCAATGAGTCTTTTTCTGAGGTAAAAAAGGTGAGGGAGAAA